CCCCAGTGTGAAGAGGTCTATGGTGGTGAAGGAGGTCGTCCAGCATAACACAGGGGCTGATATCTCACTACGGATGCCAGCGCCAGGGGCTGGGGAGCCCACCTGGGGAATTTGGTGACTCAGGGGGAATGGTCCTTGGGGCAGAGGGCCCAATCCTCGAATTGGAAGGAATTGAGGGCAGTGTGGGAGGCTCTGCACTTCCAGGTTCACGGGCCAGCACGTGCAACGGACAATGCCACGGCAGTGGCTTATATATCAGGCAGGGAGGGACGAGGAGCAAGGCCCTCGGAGCTTAGCAAGGTGCACTTGGCGTCCCTGTCTGCGACTGAACCAGAAGGCAGACTTCCTGAGCAGGACTCGGCTCAGGGAGTCGGAATGGGCCTTGAACCCCAATGTCTTTCAGGAGATTGTGCGGAGGTGGGGGATCCCCGTAGACCTTTTTGCCTCCGGGAGGAACAAACAAGGTCCCAAATTTCTTCTCTCTATCCCGCTGGGACGGGTCCAGAGCGGTGGACGCATTAGGTCAGAGGTGGGGGACTACCGGCTTTGTTACGCCTTTCCCCCGGTTTCCTTTGCTCCCCCTGGTCCTGAGAGAAAATTCAGGACGGAACCATAGCTCCCTTCTGGCCGCGGCGGGCGTGGTTTGCGACCCTAAGATGTTTGGCCTCTCGTCCACCCTGGGAGCTGCCACCAAGAGAGGATTTGTTAACACAGGGGCCGGTTCTTTGCCACAGCGTGGGAAGATTACGGTTAACAGCCTGGTTTCTGAGCAACAGCTCCTCTTAGAGAAGGGGTTCTCGCCTAAGGTAGTGGCGACATTACTGGCCAGTAGGAAGGAGGAGACCCAGGCCATTTATGGTAGGGTCTGGGGTTGCTTTTCAGCCTGGTGTGACCGGACGGCCGTGGCAACCCATAGTTGTTTCCGTGTTGGAATTCCTGCAGGCGGGAGCGGACAAGGGATTGTCTGTCAGCACGCTCAAGGGCCAGGTCTCGGCCCTCAGTGTGTTCCTAGAGACGCCCCTGGCCAGGGAGGCATTGGTGAGTAGGTTTTTCAAAGCCCTGGTGAGGCAGAGGCCTCCGAGGTCCAGACCGTTTCCAGTGTGGGATTTGGCCAAGGTGCTCGAGGGGATGACTGGGGCTCCGTTCGAGCCCCTGGAGTCCTGCCCGATAAGGGAGCTCACCATTAAAACGGCTTTTCTGGTGGCGATTACCACGGCTAGGAGGGTGTGCGAGATGGAGGCTCTCTCGATTAGACCACCTTATCTCCGTATTTTTACGGACAGAATCGTTTTCAGACCAGACCCGTCCTTCATTCCGAAGGTGGCTCGGTGTTTCCAGAGGGAACAGGACATTGTCCTTCCCTCGTTTTTTCCTGTCCCGGTGGGGGTAGATCAGGAGAGGTATCATTGTTGGATGTGAGAAGGTGCGTTCTCCAGTATCTGGAGAAATCTAGGGAATTCAGAAGCACCGAATCCCTTTTTGTTTTTTTTAAGGGGGCTAGAAGAGGCAAGAAGGCGTCTAGAAGGACGCTGGCCAGCTGGCTGCGGCTTGCGATTGCAGGTGCATATCAGGCGGAAGGCCTGGAGGTCCCGGAGGGTATCAAGGCACATTCCACCCGAGCGGTGGCGGCTACCCAAGCAGAGCTAGCAGGGGTTTCCCCAGGGCAGATTTGCAGAGCAGCATGGTCCAGCTTTGACACATTTGCCAAGCATTACAGACTGGACCTGGTCTCGGTGCAGGAGCAGGACTTTGGTCGTAAGGTCTTGCAAGCAGTTAGCCCGCCCGAGGGGTGAGTACTCGCTTATCCTCTCAGAGTGCTGGCCTGAAAGACGGTAGGGGAAAAATCAAGTTACACTTACGGTAACGTCTTTTCCAGGAGTCTTTCAGGCCAGCACCGGTTTCCCACCCGTGTTGATATTGCTTATGTGAAGATGGCTTATTGTGATTATGTTGTCTCGCATTGTGTCTCCCCAGATGACCGGAGGATGCTTGGAGAACTGAGGTCTGAGGGGAGTGGAGCTTTTTTATTGTAGGTGGAGGTGTTTCCTCAGATGGGGAGGAGCCGAGGTCTCTCAGAGTGCTGGCCTGAAAGACTCCTGGAAAAGACGTTACCGTAAGTGTAACTTGATTTTTTTTCCAGGCAGAAAAGAATGTAATTTCCATCTCAACAGCCCTTAATAGAGGAACATCAAATCTTGTAACAGACATCCTCATTGGGGGGGGAAAGATTGACACAGCAACTGGTAAATAAATCCAAAGGTATATCTACAGATTTCCAGAACGTGGCACATGCCTGCAGTAGATCTATTTGCAGACAAAAACTGAAAGGTAAAACATTTCTCTATCAAGAGAGGAAAGGACTCTGCTTGGTTCCATAATTGGAATTTCAATTTGTGCTGTGCCAGGGAATTGCTGATTTTCCGGATGCTGCAGAAACTAAGCCTGTCCAAGTGCAAACTCAAAGTGTTTGCTCCTTGGTGGCACAGGAGACGTTTCAGTTCTACAAAAGATGTCGATCCAGATTCCATGCTCACCGACAGCCAAGTCAGATGATATTTTTCAGGGACAGGTGTATCCAAGACTGAAATTCTATCAGTTAATGACTTGAATGATAAATGCTGAAAGAAAAAGATTGTTCAGGGAGGTTAATTAATACTGTTAATTAATTAATACTGCTCAAAAGTAGAAAGCGTTATGCAGGAGTGTGGTGCTTCTTCAAACCTATATTTTATTGAATATTTTATTTGAATCTTTGCAATCTTTCTCCTCTAATGAATTATAAAACAATTAAATTTAAACTGCTAAATACCTTTCTCATCAGCAGTTAGAGTAGTGTTGTGACTTCTGTCAGCGTCCAGCAGAGGACTGGTTAAAGCTTGTAGAAGTAGTTTTCATTCTCCTCTGATTGTCCTATGAGGCTGCATAAATCCCTGACTTTCTGTCTGGACAGTGATGATCACATGCACTCTCCCAAGAAGAAAAATACTCTAGCAATACAAACCAAACTGCGCATGTGCAGCTTGCCCCCAAGGCTCTGTTCCATCAGGAGATGGATTGGGGACTGTGGAAGAAGCAGAGGTTCAGAGAAGACAAAATCAAACATCCTTTTTACACAATGCAGAGGATTAACCCTTTAGGTTCCACAGTGAGTATAACAAGCATGTTTTCCTGCATATACAGACTGATTTTACTGTTGTGTGTTTAGTAACAGTTTAACTTAGGCTTTAAAGTTCATGACTTTAAAGATGGGGCCATTATAATGGCCCAGAGAGTTGGGGGTTTACAAGCTGCATCACTGTAACAGTCTGATGATTTTTTTTCAAATGGGCTTATATTGAAGTCACACCCTATGTATCTATTAAAGGTGGCCATAATGTTTCATTCAGGCCGTATACCTTGGATACCTAGATATTACAAAAGACTTTAGAAGATAAAGTAATCTTGTTCGGTGGCCCTAAAGAGTTTACAGGTCTACAAGAGCACAGTTGCCAGATAAACCAAACTATATTGTTTATATAAGGAAGAAGTACCACCGTCACTAAAGGCATACTCAACCCAGATCTTTGGTAACATCATGGTCAAAGAAAGTGGGAAACTCATTGGAATGAATCTGCAAAAAATCTTTGGTCTAGTCAGGCAGGTGTTAAGTACTATATAGAGTGGAGGACCTTTCACAACAAGACCTCGAACTTGGCAGACAGTTCTACAGGAAGAGGTTCTACCCTGAGGTAAGTTTTTATTATGTTATTTGTTGTCCTGGAAGATGATTGCAAAAGTGCCCCGTTAGTCTTACCTGTAACGGTATTTCTAGGGCTCTTCCAGGACAGCAAACCTATTTCCTACTCTTGTGTAAGTTGGTTATTTTCCCATTGTACACTGGTGGAGACAGTTTGCATTCATCTCAATTAAGGAGCAGGGGGTTTGGGTTTTTTTTTTAATTGTTCTGCTTGTGTTTCCTGTTTGTTTTTTTTTCTTCCAAGATGCTTTGTCACTTTAAACTGAGCTAATCTTTGTTAGCCTAACCCAGTGTTTCTCAACTCCAGTCCACATGGACCCCCAACAGGTCATGTTTTCAGGATTTCCATTATTTTGCACAGGTGATTTGATCAGTTTCACTGCCTTAGTAATTACCACAGCTGTTTCATCTGAGGGAAATCCTGAAAACATGACCTGTTGGGGGTCCATGAGGACTGGAGTTGAGAAACACTGGCCTAACCTTACAATTTATGTACTTGTCAAGAGGTCCAGATACAACTGTATTCCAATAAAACTCAGTGGGATAATACAAAAAGTAGCCAACATGTTCTGGGTGTCTGGGAAAACACCCCTTATCATCAAGAGTTGATTGACAATAATGTGAATAGATTAGAAGTGAACTGGCTACCTTTTATATTTTTTCCATTGTGATTGCAAGTACAAGCCTTGTGAGTAGCTGGTTTTGGCTCATAACTTCTTGTGCTCTCTGGTTGTGCTGTGAGTGTAAAAGCCTCAGTACAAAACGCTATTGGCAGTATTTACAAAATCCATCGCTAATAAATGTATCTGTCCTGTAAGGTAGCATTTACAGGAGCACAGTGGCCCATACTGCATGAATGTGGCATCTCTTAATGTGCCTGGTACCTCTGGGAGCTGAGTCCTGACTATCTTTTTACACTGTCTGCATTTGGGGCTGTACACCTACCCCTGCATGCCTATCGAACTTGGCAGTGCAAGCGAGTCTGTGCAGCCACTGCATCTGCTTTCACTTACATAGTCTGCCTGCATTCAGCTCTGGGCAGTGCCAAGTGCATTAACAAACGCCTCACTTTGCAGGGCCCTACATCCATGTGAATAGGCCTATGTGCAAAATGTTATCATCGTGCATCTCTTACAGGTGTTCTAGTCGCCTAACTAATTACTGTTGCAGTATCACTCAAAACATTGATAACATTTTGGCTGCTAGAATATTAATTTTGTTAATTGGTTAGATATATTTGCTTTTTTTTTTTTTTTTCCAAAAGGAAAAAGAGAAGCACACTCGCAGAACTCATGATGACAAGCAACCCAGAGAGAAGCGGGAGAATGATGTCCGAAGAAATACTCACAGAGACCAAGCAGGCATCAGAGGCCATCACAACCACTCGAGGCATAGGCAAAGGGATCGTGAAGAACAACATTTAAGAGAGCAAAGGGAAGAAAGAGAGTTCCACAATGACAGGAGGAGGGAAAGACGCCAGAGGCAAGAGCAGGGAGAAGAGATTGAAAATCCGGAGGCCGACAATACAGATAATAAAGGGGAAGCTAAAGAAAAAGAAAAACCAAACTTTGGACTTTCCGGGGCATTACTTGAAGATACAAATACTTTCAGAGGTGTTGTTATAAAATATAGTGAACCACCAGAAGCTCGTATTCCGAAGAAACGGTGGCGTCTGTACCCATTTAAGAATGATGAAGCTCTTCCAGTCATGTATATTCATCGTCAGAGTGCATACCTCCTGGGTAGGCAGAGACGTATTGCTGATATACCAATTGATCATCCATCTTGCTCCAAGCAACATGCTGTCCTTCAGTATCGGTGAGAATAGAGTTCTAATGCTTTTATAAAGTGGTGTTTTGTTCTTTCCAAATGTCTTTGTGATGTAAGCCTAAGGAAAAGTAGAGCTTCTTCCCTCAGTGCTGTCAGAATCCATTTTTAAATTATTGTTGTGAGGATTACAAGTTGAATATTTCCTTTATTTTTGTTATAGTTTCTCTCTCCTTTGCATTTTATCCCCTTCCTGAGCTGAGCTGAACTTGAAAGTTGTTGCATTTGTTTGATTCCTCTGCAAAATAGTTGGGGTACTAGCAATTCTTCTTTTATTGACACCTGCTGTTATTTTCCAGTGTCTTTAAATTCCAACTGAGCTGTGCAGCTCTTATGTTAGCACCTAATGAAGTACAACACTGTTTTTTTTTTTTTTAACCACTTGATCTCCGAAAGGTTTTACCCCCTTCACGACGAGGACATTTTTGCTATTCAGCACTGTACTACTTTAACTGGCAATTACGCAGTCATGCAACACTGTACCCAAATTAAATTTATATAATTTTTTCACACAGAGCTTTATTTTGGTGGTATATAATCGCCACTGGGTTTATTTTTTGCTATGTAAGTGAAAAAATACTGAACATTTTTTGGGGGAAAAAAACATTTTTCTTAGTTTCTGTTATAAACATTTGCAAACAGATAATCTTTCTTAGTAAACTTAGGCCAAAATGTAGTCTGCTGCATTTCTTTGGTAAATAATACAAAATATATATATATTTTTTTTTTATTTAAAAATTGATCAATCCTGATGCACTTCCTATCTCATTTCTTGAGGCATTAAAATGCCAGGACAGTACAAATACCTCCAGGATGACTTTCTTTTTTTTTTTTTTTTTCTGGAATGTAGACAGTCCAAGGTATTTGCATGGCAAGATTTTTAAAGTTGTAATTTTTTGCTACAATTTTTTGGAAATTAAGAATTTTTAAATAAAATTTGAAATTTTATTCAAATTTCTTTTAACTTTTTAAAGTAAGAGTACCGATACTTTGCGGACGCAAATTGCACTACAAAGAATAGCATTTGATTCCTGTCCAAATTGCATCCAAATCTTATGCGGTTTCCCCACTACTCTTGTGTGAACCCAGGCTTGTCATATCCTTAGTTGACACAGGAGTGGTGCGGGAAAACCTCCTTGCACTGATCCCTTGCTGTTACAGAAGAAAAAGCCTCTTCACAGGTCTAAGGATTTAAAATCCCCATGGCTTTCTCTCCTCTGTGCAGGGATGATGGTACGGGCTAGATTGCTATTCATTGGTCAGCACAATCATGGTGCTGAATGCTGAATACTCATGCAAATACTCTGTACCTGCACCGATATCTATGCATGCTTCCTTTTTTTATATATATATATATATATATATATATATATATATATATATATATATATATATATATATATATATACATATACTGTCATCAGAGTAGTTCAATGTAACCATTTACTTATTATAGTGATGATGATATTATTAACTGCAACCGTTTCAACTGTGATGAATGTCGGAACATGGTCCTCTGGGTCAATAGAGGCCATAGTACATCGAAGTACAAATTGCACAACTCAGTTTGTCCCTTTTTAAAAGGTCACTACCTTGTTTGCAACCTTCATTCATACAGGAGCTCATAATACACAGAGGGAGACTGGACTATCAAACTGACAGCCCATCCGCACAGGTTAAATTTGAGGAGCATCTCTCCCAGTGTAATCTGCAGGGTTCAGCTGTTTTTACAACTGTACTTGCTTTGTCAGTGCTGCTGAAATAGAGGGGCAGTCGCTTTTGAACCATATGAATTTAAGTAGGAGAGAGGAGGTTCTCCCCATCTAATCTCTGAGCGCCAGCAAATTGACCCCAGGGACAACACACAACGCTATATCTTTAAAACATATTTAAATTCTTGGGACAGGCAGCGTAGAGAAATCTCCCCAGTGGGACACAGATGGCAAAAAATAAACCTGACAACTTATTACTATCCTGTCGTCTTATCTAAAATGCTATTTGCCTTTGCTTTCACTTTAACCAGGTTTTATTTGTTAGGTAGTTTTTTTTTTTTTTTTTTTTGGCAAAATTTTATTACAAAGTGCTTATGCAGCAATCCTATTTTTGGTTTAAAAAAAAAAAAAAAAAACCACACTAAACTTTCTCTAATTGTTTGCCATTGTTTTATACCAGCTAATGCCAAACATACAGTGGATATAAAAAGTCTACACACCCCTGTTAAAATGTCAGGTTTCTGAGATGTAAAAAAATGAGACAAAGATAAATAATTTCAGAACTTTTTCCACCTTTTAATGTAACCTATAAATTGTACAACTCAGTTGAACAACAAACTGAAATCTATTAGGTTGAGGGAAGTAAAAATAAATCCACATGGCACATCTTGACTTGGCAATATTTGCCCACTCTTCCTTGCAAAAACACTCCAAATCTTGTCAGATCACGAGGGTATCTCCTGTGCACAGCCCTCTTCAGATCACCCCACAGATTTTCGATCGGATTCAGGTCTGGGCTCTGGCTGGGCCATTCCAAAAGTTTAATCTTCTGGTGAAGCCATTCCTTTGTTGATTTGGATATATACTTTGGGTCGTTATCATGCTGAAATATAAAGTTCCTCTTCATGTTCAGCTTTTTAGCAGAAGCCTGAAGGTTTTGTGCCAATATTGACTGGTATTTGGAACTGTTCATAATTCCCTCTACCTTTTTGTCTAAGACCACAGTTCCAGCTGAAGAAAAACAGTCCCAAAGCATGATGCTGCCACCACCATGCTTCACTGTGGGTATGGCGTTCTTTTGGTGATGTGCAGTGTTGTTTTTGCGCCAAACATATCTTTCAAAATTCTGGCCAAAAAGTTCAACCTTGGTTTCATCAGACCATAACACATTTTCTCACTTGCTTTTGGGAGACTTTAGATGTGTTTTTTGCAAAATTTAGTTGGGCTTGGATGTTTTTCTTCGTAAGAAAAGGCTTCCGTCTTGCCACTCTACCCCATAGCCAAAACATATGGGAGATTGTTGGCAGCCTCCCAGACCAGTTTTTTCTTATCTTTTCATCAATTTTGGTGGGACGTCCAGTTCTTGGTAATGTCACTGTTGCGCCATAGTTTCTCCACTTGATGATGACTGTCTTCACTGTGTTCCATGGTATATATCTAATGCCTTGGAAATTCTTTTGTACCCTTCTCCTGACTGATACCTTTTAACAATGAGATCCCTCTGATGCTTTGGAAGCTCTCTGCGTACATGGCTTTTGCTGTAGGATGCAACTTAGAAAATGTTGAGAAAGACCTACTGAAACAGTTTAAACTTTATTTGGGGTTAATCAGAGGCACTTTAAATGATGGCAGGTGTGTACTGATTCCTATTTAGCATGATTTTGCATGTGATTGCTTAATTCTGAATACCCTTACATCCCCAGTTATAAGAGGGTGTGCACACTTATGCAAACACATTATTTTAGTTTTTTATGTTTACTCCCCCCCTAAAATAGTTCAGTTTGTTTTTCAATTGAGTTGTACAGTTTATAAGTCACATTAAAGGTGGAAAAAGTTCTGAAATTATTTATCTTTGTCTCATTTTTTTTTTTACAACACAGAAACCTGACATTTTAACAGATTTTTTATATCCACTGTAAGTGGAGAAGCTCTAGAGCATGTCACTCCAAGGCAGAGACTCAAACAAGAAAGATATACTTTTTTTTTATTTCAGAGAAGAGCCAGACTATATGTGTAGAGCTTCAACTCCATTTATTTTGGCTCTGTACAGGAGAGAATTTTAAGACTGGCTTGAAAGGGTTGTTAGGTCGTTATTACTTTTTTTAACAATTGTCAATTGCGCAATCATACAACACTACCCATATGAAATTTTTGTCATTTTATGAGACAGAGCTTCCCTTTGTTGGTATTTAATTACCACTCAGTTTTTTAAAATATTTGCTAGACAAACAAAAAAAAAAGACCAAACATTTTGGGAGAAAAGAAGTTTCTGTTGCAAAATTTTGCAAATAAGTAATTTTTTCTTCCTCATTGATGAGGCTGTGCTTCCCTGATTATCAGTGTAAATGTGTGTTGTCAGGATTGCTGGTTATCGGCTCTTCTTTCCTCACACAGTGACAGTACGTGAGGAAAAGAAATGCAGATAACCATCAAATTTGTATACATGTGATCACCTGTGATTGGACACAGCTGATCACATGGTAAAGGGCTTCTGTGATCAGCTGTAATCAGAGCACGCCTTATGCGTGCCTAGGTGGTGGGGTTCTGGGAGGACATCTACAGATGCTCTCCCACAACTAAAAAACCATGTTGTAGCCATCTTTTGGCTATGGCACAGTTGGGAGGTGGTTAAAGAAATTCCACATTGTCTTTACATGCCAAATACTACTTATACTTTGGCCAGTAGCTCATTGACTTTTAGAAAACTTCCTTTGAAAAGGAGAAAATGAAAGATTTTGTTTTTTTGTCTCTTTTTAGGATGGTTGCGTTTACGCGTGCTGATGGGACTCCAGGAAGACGAGTCAGGCCTTACATCATTGACCTAGGATCGGGAAATGGCACCTACTTAAACAACCAGCGAATTGAGCCACAACGTTACTATGAGCTGAAAGAAAAAGATGTTCTGAAATTTGGATTTAGCAGCAGGGAGTACGTTGTTTTGCATGAGTTTTCAGATACATCAGAAGTGGACAAACCAGATGAAGATGAGGATGAGGATGAAGAAGACGAAGGTACTGACAGCTAGCAAGCTGCAAATTGAGACACCAGAACAGAAAAAAAAAAACCTTTGAATTATTTTTTTTTTCATAAGGAACTGAAAAATAAACTGTCATGTTTTGACAGCTTGAAAACCTCTGAGAACATTGTAAAGAAATGGATTTTAATGTCTCCTAAATGACAATATAGATGTATATAAGTTTTCATTCATATACTAAATGAACAGATTGCGTTGTGGTGTTTTCAGCATTTTTGAAATGTCTTTTATTTAAAAAAAAAAAAATGAACACTTTATTAAACAAAATCATTGTAACCACTGTGGTTATACGAAGGTGCTTTGATGACATCTTTGTGGTTATGATGCCAATGCTGTCTGAACTAAGATTTTGTTTGAGTTATGATATAATCTATATAAAAGAAAAAAATAGATCACAAATTTGCAATGATGGTATATTGGGTTAAAACTGTTTATCTTTTGTGTAGAGGCTCCAATCATAGAAAAGGAAAGCGTGCAAAACAAGGATTAAAGCCGTATTAAAGCCCAAATCAAAAATCTTATATATTGCAGCTTACCAATCATTAGATGTGGTGGTTTCATTGTTTTTGTTAAGTGCTCCTGCTCTGGATGAAGGGGCACAGGGAGCAACTTAGGACAGCAGCATTATCAGTCTGGGTGGAGGGAAGCATTAGATGTATTAGCAGATTTAGATATGCTGCAGAACTCCAGCTTACAGTGTAGTTACAGTTACACAAGCAATTCAGCTTACAGTATAGTTACAGTTCTTTTTTCCTTTTTGGATGAAGGTTTTACATAAAAGCTGATCATTTTAAGCACCACTGTCGGTGGTAAATGGTTTGTCTCAACACCCTAACTACTACATTTGCAAGATAGCTTGTTTTGTTGAAAAACATCAGACTTACTGGCTGGATCTCCAGATAAAAATAAAGGAAAGAAAGCCAAAAATTATTGCAGCCACCACATCTAAGAACTGGTAAGCTGCAATATAATAAATGTTCCCTTTTGGGTTTAATACCACTTAAAGCACTGTTAAGGTTAATGCAAAAGAAGCCTCTGGGTTGAAAGTTACTTTTATTGCTAAAATTCCTACACTTAAGCAATCACTGTTAGATTTAAGATGCTCTAAACTAACAAACTCTGAATCGGTTACATTGATTTGCATTAGCCAAAAACAGCTTTTTTTACAAATGAAATGTAAACTGTAGTAGACATGTCACATGCAAGAATTTCAGTTCTGAAAGATTTCAAATGTAAATCTTGAGATGCATACAGGTAACATAGCCTACTTACCCAGTACTAAAAATGTTTTTCCAAACCACTGTTTGCATTCAAAACCACATTGAAAGTTCACAGGATGCAAAGAGGAAGCTAATCAGCCCACCAACAAGCGTCAAGAAGTAAACACTATAGGGTTGATTTACTAAATCTGGAGGGTGAAAAATCTGGTGCAGCTCTGTCTAGGAATCAATCGGCTTCCAGTTTTTTTTTTTTTTTTGTTTTTGTTTTTTTTTTATGTCAAAGCCTAATTCAACAAGCTGACTGGCTACCATGCACAGCTATACCAGATTTTGCACTCTCCAGTTTTAGTAAATCAACCCCTAAGGGTCCAAGCATTCTGGGCATAAAAAATGCTGCTTATACAGGCTTTTTTTTTTTCCTTTCTTTCTTTTCTTCTTCAGCCTGTAGACTCCGCTCTGCTATCTGTGTCCATGCACATAAGGGAGTTTACAGGCATAATTTTCAGAGGAGCGTTAAGAGGCAGATAAAAAACCCTTTAGGCCTAGTTCACATTGACATTGAAAGCAGGCATTTGAAGGGCATTTTTAAAGCTCCTCAAACGCCTATGCAAATTATACTATGAACACAGTGCTGTTCACATTATCAGACCATGAAGCTTTAGCATTGCTTCAAAATTGAAGCCTCATGTGGAGTCAGGAGTTTGAAGCCTGTCAGTGCCTCCCATTCAAGTCTATGGTGACGCTCCTCAAACGCACTGGCAGTCATTTGCAGAGCATTAATAACATCACAGTTTATTTAGTTTGTTGTGTGGTTTTAACACTGGTCGAATGCTTATAAAACGTTTCAAAACTGCACATAGGGCGTTTGGGGAGTGCTTTTAACGATTGCAAAAAGCCAGTCTAAAGCTTCTTGGCGCCTGTCTAACGCCCATACTAAAGCTCATTAATGCCCATACTAAAGTTATAGGAGCGTTTTGTAAGATTTAGAAATTTAGTCAATTGTGAACAAGCCCTTTTTAAGAGAAGCTTTAGAGCGGAAAAAACACTTGGGCTGCATACACACTAGCAGTTTTTAGAAGCTCAGAAATGCTGGATGAAAAACGCAAATAATGGTGATGTGCTGGTGTGTAGGAGCGTTTGAGTTTTTACAGTACATTTAGAAAAAAAACACTTTTAGTAGCGTTCAGAGTTGTTTTCTTCAGGGAAACTGCTCCCGAACACTCTGCAAAAACAATTTTTTTTTCTGCTAAATGCCGAAGCTTGAAAAAAATGCTTCTACCATAAAATATTGTGCATGGACACACAGGATAACATGATCAGCTTCTAGGAGCTTAAAAAAAAACACTAGTGTGCATGGAGCCTCAACCCTCACACATGTGGCGTTTACGGGCGTTCAGCGTTTTCAAGTGTGCATTTGCAAAATAAGCAGAAGAGAATGTTTTTTTTTGGGGGAAAAAACACTTCTAGAAAATGCCTATAAACTCTCATAAAATATTGTTGAATATGAGCATTTTTTATGGTGCTTTTTTTTCTGTCAGGTTTTTTCTCTGTCCCCGGAGTGCATGGACCCTAAATGAGCTTTATGATGTCTGGGTGCGTGGGATAACAGAGACTTGAGATATAAGAAAATGTAAAAGGTCTAACTTTTGCAGTGTTTGTTCAGTAGCATTATTAAATCACTGATTGTGAGGGTGGGTTAGATAAGCTCCATAGGGGGGTGGGGTTTGCAGTTAGAGAAACTTTGTTAAAATGTTTATTTGCCATTTAATTTTGACTAATGAAATGCAACACGTGCTGACTGATCTTAAGCAGAACACTTATTGGAGAACAGGTTCACATTAAAGAGAACCAGTCATAGCTGGCCTTCTGCAACAATTTCGATATTTTGTCTTAAATGTTTGTTTGCAGTCTGTTACCTTACAGCTCACCTCCACCATCACAGAAGCGAGTGCTTTCTCTGATTCAATACTCCTCACATGCGTTTTCTCTCCCCTGATGCAGTAACTCCGAGCTTAGAGTTTTGACAGCTGACTCCTGTGATAGTGGAGGTGAACAGTAATAGCTAGGCCTTGCTTAGCAATGTACATAAATGGCCAAACCTATAGCAAGAGCATTATTCAACTTTAGTCAAAGTTGCACCGTTTGTCAGTCCAGTATCTGCATAGGCGGTTTTTGGTAAAGGTGATCAAACCCTTTAACCTCTACATAGCTTTACAATATGCTCAACACCAGTAACCTTAATAAAGCTTTACCTGTTTTACAGTAAGGTAGAGATCCTTTCTGGTAAATAAGTTATATTATTGTAAAAGCTATCTATACCAGTGGAATGGATGCTTCAGTTGTTGGTGGCAGGCCTAATTAATGACATGAGAAGACAACACACAAAGCTAAACGGCTCACACCTTTCTCCTAGCAGCGCTAGGGCCATTAACCAGGTTACAAACAGGTTGCCAATACACATGCTGTTTTCAAAGCATGCTTGGTTTTCTATCAAGCAAGCTATTAAAAAAAAGGGTACACCAGGGGCCTCCTATAGTCAATGCAGGAAATATTATAAAATATACATAATCCTGCATGTAAAGGCTGCCGATTGATTGCTGACTCCACCCTAAATAGAAAAATGTATTAGGTGTGGTCACCAAAACTCACAAACAGCACATAAATGAAAAAAGGGTAAAAGGTTACCCCTAAAGAAAGTTTCATGAGGGACCATGCAGCTATTCAAAAAATTGACTTTAATAGAAAAATATGCATAGCAAAAATAACATACAAGGTGAGCAACCACCACCAACACTACAATAAATTTAAAAAGACAACGTTGTCAACCTGAGCAGCTGCTTGTGTGACTAGACAACGTTGTCTGTTTAAATTTAGTGTAGTGTTGGTGGTGGTTGCTCACCTTGTATGTTATTTTTGCTATACATATTTTTCTATTAAAGTCAATTTTTGAATAGCTGCATGGTCCCTCATGAAACTTTCTTTCGGCGTACCTTTTTTACCTTTTTTTTTTTTTTTATTTATGTGCTTGGTTTTCTACTAGCATAGATGCAATTGCATTAAAAAGCCCTACTCTTGTCAAAACTGCAGACAGTTTTAATGTTTCATATTCTGAGGATTCTTGTTGGAAATCAATAGTTATCACTGATTAAGGTTCAGTGTATGATGGAGTATATATAACTTTTAGGTTAAAGTTGTACATATCTCTGATGGTAATCTATTTCTCTCACTAAAAGGGTTGTATTATGCACAGAAAATATACTGTATATGTTACCACTTGATCTTCTGTCGCCCCTGCAAATTTGTATAAAAAGTTTCAAGTATTGTGAATATTTGGTGTACAAGAAACACAATCCCAGTAATTACATTATGCACCAAGTGACCCTTTCTGGTGTGTGACACCTTACCTGCAATTTGTCAGCAGTATATGCCTGTTTTAAATGTCTGCTCTTTGACCAAAACGGGAGGCATTCTGGATGTGTACAAAATATTCTTTGTCCTTATAGGTATACAAGGCATTATTGGATTGCTTGGTCAACTTAAATGTGCTGTGACAAAAAATTTTCCTGCCAGATCTTCAGGGTTTAATTTTTTTTTGATTTACCAGGATATCATGCAAGCACATTATTTTTATACATATAAATATATATATATATTTTTAATAGTCGTGTATATCTGCCAAAAGACGACTTTATTTCTCTTTGTTTTAGAAACTAGAACATGTTGGCAGTTTTTGGTTGGTTTAGCATTTGTGTTCGTCCTGTAAAATAAACT